ACTGACCGAAGATTGCAGACCATTCAATGGTAACTCGTTGATGAAAGTTAGCTAACGTTTTCTGACGTGTAGCTAACGTTTTCTGACGTGTAGCTAACGTTTTCTGACCTTTAGTTAGCGTTAGCTGACCTTTAGCTAACGTTAGCTAACATTAGCTGACTTTTAGCTAACGGCTATAGTGTTTCTTCACCTTTACTAGCTAAAGAAATGGAAGCTAAAATAACCACCAACACAACAAATTATACATTATTTTTATCCCTTTATCCCTCTTTTCCAGGAAGCCATCAGATTGAGGCGGTCTACAGGTTTTGTGTCACTGTGAATCCTTCTGATGTGATCGAGGTGGATCCTGTCTTGGGTGAACGTGTTCTTTGTGATCCTCTTGGAGCAACAGCGTTGTTTCAGTCTGTAAGTGAAAACTTGAGTGAGCAAGCTGAAATAAAATGTGACCTTCTGCTGTAAGGATAACTACATTTGTCCAATTATTCACTTAGGTATGTTTCCTGGCCATAAAAACACTTTCACTTGTTGAAAAGATACATACCCAGAGTCAGGTATGACTACTTACATGTTGCAGCTACAGCTCCTTCTTCCCCACTGGTTTAGACGCAGGCGTTTAACAATGTCTGCTCTGATTGTTCCCTTTTGAGGTGAATGTAATTCTGAAGTTGACACATCTGCCTCCATTCCCCGAGTACACGTTGGACCTTTGTGGTTTTCCTCGTGGACGCGGGCCCATGAGGCCTGTCTCCATGGAGGGCCTGGTCATCGCCATGACGAGGGTCACGAAATACACCCAGGGGGCCAGGTTCCTCTGCGTCAACGATGAATGTCCCTGCTCTACAGGTGCTGCAGGGAAGACACAATAGTCCCCCGTTGTATTTCTCCTTGCATCTACTGATTGCATAGATCACAAGCAGTTGTTATATTCTTCCCGGAAATCTGACAACTTGGCATCCCTAAAATTTGGATTCACATCTGATTTATTTTTCTTCTGCGCCGACTCTAGGGTTTCACCACATTCGCGTCCATGCACCCGGAGCCACAGAGTCGGCCACAGTACGAAACAACTTCAGCTGTACGATCTGCAGCTCCCCGCTGACAGAGGACGTGAAGTTCAGAGTGTTGGGAGGTGAGAGTGCAGCAGGCGAGCATCGTCAGAGACGACTGAATTCATACACGCGGCTGAAATAGAATGGCGTGCGCTGTCGTGATTAGTGCGTTTGCATGTGTTTCTTTGGGGAGACAGACAAACAGCTGGTGGAGCTGATCCACCTCAAAGCACTAGATGCTCTGAGCGCCCATCAGCAAAGCCCGCTCAGGTACCAGTCGGTCACCCTGTTTCTCAGAGGTAGGTCCCGAAATGATGTCCCATGTTGTGACACACAGGCTGCAAATGGATTGAATGCTGGAGCAACATAAAATAAATGAAATAAATGTGAATAGCAGAATAATAACCACTGACAGAGAGAAGGTCCACAGTTAGCTTGTACTACAGCACACGATCAGCTCTTTTTTTTCTCCCCCAAACAGGCCTTGAAGTTGTTTGTGTTTTTTCGCATCAAATTTTAGTCGGCAGAGCAGCTGCACATTACTTGGACGACTTTCCACAACTGCTTCTAAACTAAGCAGCACAAAATCAGTTGATCGCCCTCTGGTGGAGTACGCATAACCACCCCGGTCACATTTGAGAGACATTTTTGACCATAAGAATACGCACGGAATGGTCTTGTAATGTTTGAGTGGGTTGCCAGATAAAAAATGCAGAGCAGTGACAATGGTACATGTACATGTTTACATAGCGGAGACTCAAGTAAAAAGTACTTTTTAGTTCAACCACGTCAAAATCTTAAAAGAGATATTGTACCGTAGAGTAATATCCTCAACATTTGAGCGGGTATTATTTGTTTGTCAAATCGTCTTCTCACCCTCCCTGTACTGAATAACGGGGTTGTAACCGCTTATATTTACACACAGTCCGATGTATTGAGGTTTGTCATTAATTTCCTCCGGCTCTGCAAGTGAGCCTCACTTCCAAACACAAACTCTGTGGGGGGAAGAGTTCAAATAAATAGATTTTTGTGCAGCCAGACGCACACAGCGCCCCATGGCGGGATATTAAGTGTTTCTGTCGCCTCTAATAACATTGTCGAGACAGCACCCCTGGGAGCAAAGCAAAACCTGAGCACACGGATTAACATATTCTGTTGACCCGGTCCTGTAAGGGAATTCAATACGCCGGGTTCCCGTTACTAGACATATATGTTATTAAGCGCGAGGAGCCCTCATTAGCTGGCTGTGCGATTTGCACACAGAGAAATCCTTGTCCTGAAGGCCTCGCTCTGTTTCTCTTGGCAGCGGTCCGTAGGTGGCCAGCGTGTTTCTTCAGTAATCACCTTCTTTTTTGTTGTATTCCTTTCTTCATCCTTCACCCCCCCTCCCCCTCTCCGTACAGATGAGCTGTGTAATTCAATGAGAATCGGTCGACTCTACAGGGTTTTAGGCATTCCCGCACATGTGCAACAGGGGAGCGGCATCACGTGGAGCGTCGAGGCAAATGGCGTCCAACCGTGGGAGCCGGAGCGTGAGCCTCTATTAAAGACACTGCTCCAAATTCATGCTGTGTATTCGTCACCACAATTAAACCTCTGCCGCGTCGCCGCACCCCCACAGATCCACGTGAAGTCGTTGGCGGCGGCAGCGGCTTCTGGAAGCTGTCGAAGGCCACGGCCGGTTTCCGCTGGAGGTTCTCCGCCATCGCGGCTCACCGCTTCGCCTTGGACGTGGCTCCTCCGGGCCTCCACAACACCCTCAAGCTGAGCCTGCTGCTCAGCCTGGTGCAGAACGGCGTGGATGCAAGAGAGACGATTCACAATTTGGATCTGCTGGCCGTCACCACCGACACCCTCGTGCTAGACAGGTAGGGAGGGGGGGGGGGGGGGGGGTCGACTTTGCGAGGCCCTTCCGAGTGGCGAGCGCGCTGCATTCAACCGGCCTCATTACCGTGTCTTTGTGTTAAGACTGATGACGTACGGCCTGAGCTTGGCGGGTCGCGGCGTCAGGCATCAGGCCTCAGGTGAGATGTTCGCGTCCCTGGCCAGGGACGAACACGGGGCCGGCACGGCCAACATCCACGCCGGCTCGGCCCTGCTCGCCACCGGCGGCATTTGCATGTTGGGCGATTTGGGCTGCTACAAAAAGGACAGGTTGGATGCCATTCAGTCAGGTAGGGCACCCAGGGGATTTAATCATAAAGAATAGCATTGGCACTTATATGATGCTCATGTCAACAATTCAAGTTATACATTATTTGACATAAAAAAGCCAGATTCATACGTGTAAAAATACTTTTCCCAGTTCTGGAGAGCTGCACGGTGTCAGTGTTCGTCCCGGGGAAGAAATACGGCGAGGATGCCGACCAGCAGCTTAACTTTCCCGTCCACTGCAGCTTCTGGGCCCTCACAGACTCCACGGAGGCCTCTCGGCGGTCCGGGAGGGCAGACGGTGCCGTACTTGGAACAGCAGTAGGTTTAATCACAACATGGTGTTGAATAACCTCCATGCAGCCAATACTATGAGGTCTTTGTCAGATTTAACTCAGATGTTTGATAGCGCTTACAAAACAGGAATCTGAAACAATTTACCTTGCTTGAAGAACCCTGCCCAGACAACAGGACGCTATTTTTGTATATTTTGCATGCACGGTAAAGGAACAATACTGTTTAAGAAGTAAATCTTTAAGATATGGTTTGGATTCCAGGTCACTGCAGACATGTAGGCACCACTGCGTAGCTGTCCATTAACCAGCCTCTTTGTGAGCAGGAAATGGGTCCTGTACCAGTTCAGTTGGCGGACGCCTTTGGCCTGGTCATTCAGTGCAGGGACGTGGGGGGGGAGCAGGCCCTGCTTGCTCAGACCATCCACACCCTGCAGCAGGCCGTGCAGCCAGGGAAACCCCTCTACCCTTCATACTGGGAGTTTTCTACACAGGACTACAAGGAGGTTAGCAAATATTGAACTTTCCATTTTATTATTACACTGCCGTGACACTTTTTGCATGCCGTCTAGCTGGTGGCTCACGCACGGCGCCTAAAGGCAGAGCTCAGCCCTGGAGCAGAAAAAATGATCCACGGTTACTACATGGCCAGCCGCAGGGTCCGAACACAGAGTCAGGTTGTCAAGATGTCCGTGGCATCCGTCAAACTACTGTAAGGACTCATCTTAAAATGTAATCAAGGTTTGCATCTTAGCATGTTTGAGATTTTTTTTAAATTAGACTGGCAAGCGAGTGAGTCTTGTGTAATGTCACATCAGCCACTAGGTGGAGAAGTCTTACCATACACTTGATAACCCATTTGGTAATAACATTTGACTGCTCAGATTTACCAGTTCTCATTTTTCCCATATGTACAGAAAACCCCCTAGAGCTATACATTACCATTCAATGTTCAAATGTAATTCATGTTTGAAGGATCTCATTGGCTGAAGCCCACTGCAAGTTATGTCTCAGGACACAAGTCCTGGAAGAAGACGCTGTGATTGCCGTGCTGCTCTGTGAAAACTCTGTCACACTGAAGCACGGTAGATACCACCACCTCCATATTACTGATTACTAAATATTTAAGTCACTTTAAATGCCACCCAGATATCCCTAGTTTTGCGTGCACGGATCTTGCCATTAAGCACCATGGAGGGTTTTGACAAGTCTTGAACTGCACTTACAGGGGCCTCAGCACTTGTTATCCCACCTGATGCCGTATTTCCTTGTGATCTGGGAAGTGTGGATGGTTATCAGAGGAGAGACGAGACACTGGATGAGCTCCACCAGAATATCCTACGCTTCATCTACAGCTACGCACCAGGAGCAGACTCGTACATCACAGAGGAATGAGACGGTAGGACCCACTAGCCAGTTTATAAAATGTTCAGGATTTAGCTGTAGATAAATAGAGGCACACTTTGTATAAACATACTGGGAAACATTCAAAGACAGTCAGTCATTTCTTTCAGAAAGTTTTATTACAAAATGTGGTAAATTGCTGCAGATATCTGCCAACTGATCCAACAGCTCAATGACCTGTGAAAAAAAAAAAACATTTCATGGATCCGTGGTATAATATAAAGTCAAGTAAACACATTTTCACAGGTTGGTGATTCAATACATACCTTTCAAATGAGGCAATTAGTAGAAGCTAGTTAACTGGGCATCCCTCTGCTGAGAAATACATTTAAATAAGTAAAAGTGATAAAACGTTGAATTGTCTAATCAACTTCCCCCTTTTGGTTTCAGTTGGTCACAATCTCAACAGTCCATTATGGTCTGATGGGTAAACGGCTTAATGTGAGCTCATCATTACTTTGACAGGACAGCCTGCATAAGCTGAGACAATTTGAGTGTAAAGTTGTTCAACTTACCAAATTCGATGAAGCCCAAAGTTCAACTTCACATCTGTAAGAGAAAAGATATTATCCAGCCAAATTCATTTTTGACAATTCATGGGACACCTTAATGGTGCATGCAGAACGTCAAGATCCTTTGGTTGACTGGCATCATGTGGACTAAAACTGAGGCTGCAGCTGGTTATTCAGAAGAAACAATCTCACCATTCTAAAATCTGACGGGTAAACGGCAAATGTTATCTCATCACTATTCCAGCTGCAGGGTTTTCAGAACTCAATGTATAGTTAAAGACTTGCTGAAGACTGACTGCAAGCTTTTTTCAACATTTAAAACACTAGACCAAACGTACCGCTCGATTGGTGCAGAATTCGATCAGGTGTCCCCGTGACCTCAGCACGACTTCTGAAAAGGCAAGAAACACGATCTAGATAAAGGAAAGTTACACATGGAAATCAAACTTCTAAACCTTCCAAATTCATACTGCATTCAGTTAGTCACAGTCTCACCACCCTATTGTCTGACGGGTAAACGGCAAATGTGAACTCATCACTATTCCAGCAGTAGGATTGATCTGTACCATAAACCGCACAACCAAATATTGTTCAATATCTAGAGCTTACGTCAAAGTCGAACTGCTGGGAACCAATATTTGGCCATCTGTAGTAGGCAGCGGAGATTTCACATCTGCAATAAAAAAGAAATCATTTCCAGTTCTCACCAGGTGCATTGTAGGATATGATCCAGTTTTACACAACCATGATGCATGGCCATGTCTGGTCATCTCAATTGCTATGACAAACAAGACAAGAGTTCAGTTCGACTATGAAAGTATAACTAAACAGGTCTACACTTGGGACTGCACCATTGATTTTCACCTCACGAATACGATTTACCGACGGAAGAGCCAATACTGTGAGGAGATATGACTGATCACCCGAAGGTCAAAGGCCACTTGTGTTACACAGCTTGGCAGCATGGCTAAGGTCGCATGTTAAGGACCGGTTCAAATGGAGGTCACGACCTCTGCCACGACTGTACGGCCTCAGAAGGATCCAGTGAAATAATGAGGCGGAGCCCATTTTCTGACACTGGACACAACTTATTACGTCAGATAAGCGCGTCATACAGCGATGCAGGGAATCTGGTTAGGTGGTAGAGGCAGATATGACGCCTAAATTACCCTTTGCGCCGTTTGATTTTAACCGCAGGATTTGCATTTACATACATGTTACCGTTGCGCGAACAATGATTCACATTTCAGTTATGCTATTGATATTACACAGGTGTGACCTGGCATACAGTGACACGTTACTTTAAAACGACATGCTTCAAGTGGTTTTAAATTTAAATAAAAGTTCGTAACAACTGCCTAGTCCAGGGTTTGGTTTGTGTGATGGTAAACAATCCTCAGATTCAACGTTAACGGGGCAGCGCGCTTTCCTCCCACGTGGCAGACACATGGGCCGGAGTTAGCTGCTAGCTACCATTAGCTGCTGGCTCCTAGCTAACGAGCAGGAGCGTTAGTCATCTACGAGGGCTACACGCGAGTACGGGCAAAAACAAGTCCGCGACGCGCTAAAAGAAAGACTTTGTGAAATGCTCAGTCCTCACATTGCTGTTTACCTCCGCAATGAAGCTCAGCCCCGACGCAGAGAGCTCTGCTCGCGCCTCCGTCTGGAAGGGAAGAGGTGGGACTTCCGGATCCGTCTGGTTTTAAGTAGCTGGGCGTTCAGGGTCACGTGGCCCGCTGCACAGCCGGGCAGTAACTACGCGTTAGCGCCAGGCAGCCTCCTCTTCAGTTGTCATGTATGCATGTATTTAAGCTAGAATGTGTACCATATATTGATTGCATTACAGGTTTGCAATGAGTTAAATTCAAAGGATTTACTTTCTTTAGCTCTGCAGATAAAACAGACACTGGTTTTATACAGAATACTTTATATAACCACCTCCCTTCTTTCCACTAAACGTGTAGAAATACCATACACCGCCCATTGTTTGCTCTTAAAGATGTTGTGATTTATCAATGCATTTCGCATTTTAATAAGCTGCAACCTAAAATCAATTTGTCAAATAAAGTTAAGCAAACGTTCCCTCAGTGTCAAAAAGAGAGAACTCAATATCACGTTTGATTCGCCTGAAATGATACATTGTTGAAACGTAAAATTTGAAGAGGTTAATATCTTTAATATTTACGCCTTTATTTTGTACAAATACAGGCAAATTTTGGTTTGATTTCTTCAACATGGCAACACTATAAACACCGCTGAAACTAATATTATCGTTTCTAAATTCAGACAGAACCGAAGGGCCTGCTGCATATTCTTCTGTCAGATGCAGTCATTTGCTGCAAATCATTTTGTGTTGTATTCATTCATTCATTTTGTGTTGTAACCAAACCAACATCTTTACTGCACATTGACTTTAAGCGAGAACCTCAGTTGTGTTTGATTAAGACTAAAGCGACTTTCCCATAAGAAATATAAGCGAACACATGCTGACCTTCACCGAAAAAAATACGCAAACATAACTTATATTAACCTAACGACCAAAAAAAACATTTTTTATGATCGGCAACATTTTAGCAGACTTCTTTCACGGGAGTCATTTATTCACAAACACATTTACAACCATGCATGTAAAAGTAAGGAACACGAGACGCAGAGCCTCCATTGTCGACCCTCTGACAGACCACTTCACATGACAGATGTTCAGTTATTCACGCATGCATTTAGTGCAAATGTTTCGACTGAAAGTGCACACCTCAAGCATGACGGGCTCGTTACGCCGTGGAATCTACAAATATCATACCCTGGACATGTGCGGAGCTGCACAATGCAGGCCAAAGAGGCTTAGTCAAAATAACAACAGAGAAACATAGCGTGTGCTTTCTCACAATTTACACAATAAAATCCACGTAATAAATTAATTTTGCAATCTCTTCGCAATGTCTCGGTAAGGCTGTAGTCAAATCAGATCTACAGTCAGAACGCATACTCGGCTACCAGAGTAAACAGCATGGACTCATGCCAATTGTGAAATGGTTTTAAACGGATTATTTCATCCTGTTACTGGAGGTGGACGACGACGGGCCTTGGTTCTCGGACTCCGAAGGATTCGTGGGGTTGAGGAACTGTCCGCTGGCTCCGACGTACAGTCTGGATCGCATGGGCCATTTCTGTAGAGACATTTTTATTTGTTAGCAGGCCTGAGTCAACCTCTGAACATGAAAAAAAGATAGCAATACGCAGAAGGTGATGTATGTTACATCAACCTGCAACATATTTTACGCAAACCCTTCAGCTTGTGCAATTTAGAGGTGCGGCAATTTCCATCCAGAAGCAAAATCATTTAATAAAATATTGAGGCACAAATGACAAAAAAACAAACAGATCAGGCCATCACATGACCTACAATTATTATGATCATTACCTATTATTATTTTCATCAGTATTATTGTCACTGACCTTCACTGGGTGCAGGTAGCCATCACCTTTCAACGAGTGCAACGCGTCCGTCCTTTTTTTGCTCTCTGCCTCCTCCGCGCCTTCTTCCTGCAGTGTTCGAGTCAAATGGGCGATGTAGGTGGTGGCCAGGATCAACACGTCGAGTTTGGACAGCTTGGTGTCCGGCGGCACGGACGGCAAAGTCCTCTGTAGCTCCAGGAAAGCGGTTCTCAGGGTCTGCACCCGGCTTCTCTCCCGCGCCGCGTTCGCTGCCGCCGGGCGTCCTCTGGCGCCGCCACCGCTACCGCCGCCGCTTTGGAGCACCCGGGCCCGCTGGAGGTCCCGAGGAGGGCCGTCCGGACTGGGACTGGAGCTGGGACTGGACGCGGGGCTGTCATCCAACGCCGCCGCCGCGGAGCGACCGCCGCTGTCCGTTCGGAGCTTCTGTCTTCCAGCCATCGGGGTGCACTTAGAGACCTGACGAATGACATCGGATCAAAGCCACACCGAGTCACCTTTAGTTGTTGAACCTGGCAGTTAAACGTTTTATTGAGATCAATTCATATTAAATTATTAGTGTCTACAGTATTCTGTTCTACTTGCATGTTAAGTAATTGTATATTTGAATTTATTTATTAAACCATAACTTAAGTTTTCTTATGCAGTCAATTATTTCAAATGTGTGATGTCAAGTCGCAGGATATTCTTGAAAGTCGTCCACAAACAAACACAACTTTTTAAAAGACCCCCCGATGACAGGTCACACAGCTGCCCAACGTTGCACCAAAGACACTTTGCATGCAGTGGAGTTTTACCTTTGGTATCTTTTAAAGGTGCCGTTTTGAAAGACGACATGAATGCAATCCGCAGAAGCCTCTTCGACATAAGTCTGAGGTTTCGCTCTCCAGTGCAGAATATAGTTCACGTGCAGCTTATCCTTATACAAGTGGTGCGCGCACTGCAGAAAGAAAAAAAGGTTCGCGCCGCAGTGTTGGAGCGCGCTCCAAACGCTTCACCTGTGCCGCGTAAAAGTCACACGAGCCTTTAAACTCTGCTAGGTGCACATAGAGCCCCCTTAAAAAGTAGTTCGCTCCGACCAAATGACTCAGTCGCCTCTTGCCCTCTCCTTCAGGTGTGTGTATCTGAGGGGGTCAATTCAGCCCCCGGGTTACATTGTGGGTGGGGGGGGGGGGGCAGAGGCCGGCCTCTCCGCTCCTTTAACCCCAGATGTGTGCTGCGCGCCACATCCCATCTCTAATTGGCTGCGAACCCGACCCCCGTATTTTTCCTCGCAAGCCTATCGCGACGTAGCAAACGTGAAGAAAGCCCGAAAAGAGGCTGCTCGTCGCGGTCACGAATGCACAGGTTACTCTTTCGACGCGCCCTTTGCAACGCACCGTGAAGACATGCGGCTGACAAGTGTAAGGCGATATGCAAAAGACATTTGACTAATAGCCGGGGGGTGTCTGGAGTGGCGAGCCCACTGGAACGGCTAATAAATAAAGCAACGCAATCAACCGGCAGGCGTTGAGGACATTCTTGTGAGACTCTTGAAATGAATCACTCTGATTTGTGCATGGGCTCCAAAATTAATGAAAGGAATTATTCATAATATGCATATCCCAGAACTGCTCTCAATAAACATTGTTTTTGTAAGGATGGAGTCACAGCTGCGGGCCCCTAATTATGAGGCAAAGTAAAAGAAGGTTGAGTCTAATAACACCCGCATCTTTCCACGTGGTTCCTCCTTGGAACATTTAGAAATGGCGATGATAAGTAATAGAATGGGTCGTTCATCAGAATTACTTGAACAGAAGCATATGTTGTTAGCTTTGAGTGCAAAGCAGAGTCACAGGGCAGGTCGATCATTCGTGTCACTCTGCATCTCCTGGTTCACTTATTTGCCGAAAAAGAAAAACGACACACAGAAAAATGTAGCAGTGAACGGTTGTTGGATTGATTATTTATATTCTCAAACCCCCACAAAAGTAATAAACCAGCTGCTAGAGTGAGGAAAAGAAATGTGCACATACCATTATGCATTGTCTTACGCTTTAATTTCAGAATTTGTAACACCAGCATATTATTTCCGCCCTATTCATTTACAGAAATGTATATCAAAGAGACAGATACAATCTCAATATTTTCTGTAAAAAAAAAAAGAAGGTAAATCTTTAAACTCCTTGTATCCACTGTAGGTCAAGGATACAGTGTCTCTGCAGCAGTGACAGGGACTCTCTTCTGTCCTGCTAAATATGCAAGCATGAAATATACAGAACTATGATGACGGAGGTGCTTAAACTACAGGGAGAAGCAGAGTTTGTCCTGCACGGGTGGAGATCTTAGTGGACTTGTACGTCTGTCTTAAGCAGCCACTAGACGGCAGATGATGAGGCCGCTCCGCGAATGAGATGTCCCCCTGTAGGAACCGTTCATTTTTGTAACCTTAGGTTTTAGAGAAGAAACAAAAGATCATTATCAGATCAGAAGACAGAAGATGTCTCCTATTACTTTATGCATCGGAAACAAACATAGCAATTAATTGGTGAGGAAAGAATAAATGAGGGAAATTAAACTAACTGGTATACAGTCCAAAGATTCAACCTAATCAAAAATGAAATCTTCTTGATTTTGAGAATGAAACGGACTGAGACAAAAATGTGCTGCGGCTCTCACGTTTGCGTGGCTGCAGATGTGGCCGAGGCGTGCACCATGACACACGTTAAAGTAATCTGGAATGTACACAAAGTCACAGTATAACACACACATATACACACACACACACACACACACAAGTCACGCAAATTCAGAAGCGTGAAGCCCAACAGGGTCGAGAACGACGGAGGGGAAAACAACCCAGAAATGTGATGATCGTGGTCATGTGGGCAAAGATGTTCTGCAAACAGAATTTAGGGACTTACTTGTTACAGGACAGGTAAACGAACGGTTTTTATTCTTCTTGGCCTCTTTGGATGCTTTCCAGTTAATAAGGAACTGTCTGGTCAACTCATTAATTTCACTGCCATCCAGAACCTCTACAACAATAAATATCAAACAAACACTTCATTTGAAATTGAAAAGCAAAAGGTGTATATTTTTGCTTTGATCATGAAGTGGTCTCTTAATTATTAGCCTGGGCATTTCTTTTCATATTATAGTTCTATTGAGAAGGAAAATGATTAATCAACTCACGCAGGCTTCGGACTGCGGTTATTAGGCGGTCTCTGTACTTTTTGCTTTTACAAACAGGATTTCCACTCAAATCCATTTGAAGCAATTGAGGCCAATGGCAGAAAACGTCCTCCAGCTCCTGAAAATACACAAGAAGAGATACTTAACCCGCGGCCTGTTGCGCGTTCACACTTTTCCTACACAGACAACTTTTTGCCTTTAAACAAATCTATAAAGCTATGATGCATATTCTAAATCCCTAATCCGAGACAAGCATCAGCAAAGATGTTTTTTTAAACACTCGGCCTGGGTGACTAGTAATGTGAACTACAAGGGCACAACGTAAACAACACATTCGTCTATTTTAATAAACAGTGTCGCCGGTGTCGTGTAACTACGAGTTTTCTCCTGGGGCGCCGTGAGGCTGGCTCCTCCAGCCAGTTGCCTGCAGTTGTATGTTTATCTAAAAGGCACATTAATCCAAGCCTGGAAATATGAATACTCTCTGGACACGCTCTGATTGTTCATTGCCTTCCTGTCCTGGCCAAAGCGCTTCCACTTTTCCAGCTCTCTCCGCAATCAGTTCAGAGGGGACCCCCGAGCGCCGCCCGCTCCCCCGGCTTTGATAAATGATCGTGTCAGGGCCGTCACTCAGAAGGCCCTCGCTGAAGAGCGGCCCAGCGCCAAATTGGCCCTTTCACGCGGGGGCGTACGGAACAGCCAGAGCCCGGATACTCGCCCTGTGCTCGTCTGGCTCTCTCGAGCGGACTAATGATGGGCCAGTTATGAGCCTGCATTTGACCGGGGCTTCGATTCCCCTGTCCTCTCCCGGCCCAGCGCGCGGCTAACGGTCTCCGAAGACGCTCCCCATTTGTCACCCTAGCTGACTGCCTGTCATAATCTGTTTTGAAAAATCCATAGCGCTGCCTCTGGGCTGCGAGCGAATGGCGCAGAAGTAGGGATTGATCCTTGGGAGGGCTGTCTTTGCAGGATCAATAGTGGCAGACGGGTGGTATAAATTATAGGAGATATCTGCGCAAAGTGACGCGTGCCCGGCAGTTTACCTGCGTTAAGGTTCTCACAGGGAAATTCATTTGTGATTAAAAAAAAGTGCCTTCAGCAATGTGGTCGATTCTGCTTGAGTGTGGTGCTACCTATGGCTCATCCTAGAGTGAAATGGCAATATGAAAGAATAATTGATTCCTTTCAAGTGAAGTTGTCAACTTTTTCACTCAAAATACCAGAAAACGAAAGCTATGACGGAGATAGCAGGTTGTTGTTAAAGGAAGTTGACGAGGCTGAATCCTAGCAGTGCCTCAGATAAATCTCCCGTGAAGTAAAGGTCTGGGGGTTCATGGGCTCGAATGGAGGATTGCTCGGAAAGGGAGAAACTCATGCTTGTTTAAAGCTGTCAGCGAGAAAAGTCTCAGGGGAACGGCTCGCTGATTTGTTGAATAATTCTGACCCTGAAAGAGTCATGGAGACTGGGAACCTGTGGCGGGATTTGCAGGATTTGGTTCTTTAGAACCCCGTTCTGCATTTCATTTCACACATCACTGCAGAAAGCTACGCAACAATGTTAAGGTTGACCCGATCAACTAATAGCTGGATTGTTGACTCTGATACGCCATAGCATGCACAGTTGCTGCGCCGAGGTGCTCCTTACTTTGACTGCATGCAGTTCGTCTCTGGGAAAGGACTTGACTTAGTTTCAGAGAAATATTTAAGATAAATAATATATATATAAAGTTACCTCCATATCGTACAATCTATTGTCAGCAGCAGAGAAATGCTGGAGCTCCTTCAGCACGCTCAGGTCCCTGATTTCATCAATGTTGTTGTTGTTGATATTCAGTACACAAAGAGATTCCTGTACAACAAATACAGGTTAATGAAGAAGGGAGAGGCCGGTGAATACAATGACAGAATCTTACAAATAAATATTACGCAAAAAACATTTATTTACAGCATTTTCTTCTTTCTTTGGCTGTGATTAATTTGAATTAAGTATTTCAATGTGTTCTCTTAATGTACCTCATTAGGATCATGTCCGAATCAGATAGTCCTGCTGTTATTAATATTAACCTTGAGGTTTGAAGTTGTATCATGACACATTTGTAAAAAGAAAAACTTGGAACTCTTTACATTTGCACAGCGATTTCTTCAATTGTATTTAGTTAGTTAAACAAACGACACTGGTTGTGTCAAACCGTGGCTTTGGCAGTTTACCAAGTAAACATACCTAACGGAGTTATCCGACCAGAGAGAGCAACAGAGGCCTCTGAGATCATCAAACCCAGCACATTACTGCTTCTACACAGATTACTGGCCTCTGAGAAATCAGAGGTTTTTTAACTTAAAGTGACCGCCTCACAAGTTAATTTTCAAGTTAATTTTCAAAAAAAGGGACCCGAATTATTCTGGAAGAGCGGCTCTTCCTCATTCCACACACTATCTCTGTGCTGAACAGAGGTCTGAAAATAGGTCTTACAGCCAGAGAGCGGAGAGTCATGGGGTCAAGGAGCAACTTCTCCCCCGGTGCCAGCCTCTGGTTTTCCAGGTGAAGCTCCTTGAGCTCACACAGTGTATCTAAGCCCTCGACCACAGCAATCTTGTTTCCACCCAGATACCTACAGTGCAGAAAAAAAACTCACACACTCACATCTTAAATTTGAGCACGGAATAACAATCGGAGGGTCAAAGATGTCTACTCACAATTTGGACAGCTTCTGCAGATTGGTGAGATTATCTATATGAGTGATGTTATTGTTCTGCATGTAAAGATGGGTGAGGTTGGAGGCAAAGCCAAGGTTGCATATGCTCGTGATCTGATTATCATACAGGTAAAGGACGGTGAGGTTTCTACACACGGAGAGATCCCCCTGAAAACAGAATTGACAAAGTCAGGCATATCACACGAAAAGCCCAGAAAGACATCGCCAGCGTTGATACTGGGCGAACTCACAATGTCGTCAATGTTCCTGCTGAAGAAGTGGAGGTGGGTAAGTGTCGTGAGGTACTCTGGGAAGGAGAGGCCCCTTTTCTTTTTGAAGTTTCTCCCGGATTTAGCAATCAGATCTATGGTCAGGCGTACCATGGTGGCTCATCCACGGGGCTAATTTAGAGAGGATCCTTTTAAGCTCCGGCCAAGCATTCGGCCCACGGCCGGGGATCTAGAAAAGTCTGTTTGGGAGGAAATAAATGACAGAAGGAGACCTTAGCTGGCAAATAGACGTTCCTCGGAATCACAATTTAATAATAATGCCTCATTGCTTCAGTGTTTGTAATTCAAAATGACAAATAACCCCCCGCAGAACTTTAAATGTCCCAAAACCTAATTGTCAATTCCCATTTAGGGATAATTGATGGGGCAGGGGGGACGTTGTCACCGTTCTCCAGCATCTTGCTAAGAGGGCAAAGGTTGGGTGACCACTCAATTCATACTGTCATTAGAACTCAGCAGATCCTTTGCGCCACCTTCCCTCCATCCAGCACTCCAGGGACTGAGCTGACATTGAGACGGGCTTTCATTTGACTGGGATACAATTAACTTCAGGCGTCATCATACTGTACCTCGCCTCTCCTCACCTGCTGATTCCGGCATGTGTGTGTGTGTGTGTGTGTGTGTGTGTGCAGCTGAAGTAAGTTGAAGTGGAAGGTAAAGGCCGAGGTTACAGGAGAAGAGGAGGCACTGATGGATCAACCCGAGCGGAATGGAAGCTAAAGGCTACCGTTAACTGAACAACCCCGGGCCTCCGCTCTCCAGGGAGTCGGGGACAGCACTTTATCATTGTCAGGAACAAGTGTTGTCCGGGCGGTGAGAGGCGGCACGAACGTACTGGAGGGAATGCAAACGGCCAGGGACTAGACGGTGTTCACGCGTCCCGGACAAGAAGGAGGCACCATTTTAAGTGACGTCAAATTAACGTTACATCGTTAGCGAGTTAGGTTAACTCACAGCTAGCCACCATAAACCACATAATGTATGCTGCCACTGGGTTTCGCAGCCCCTTAATTTTGGAATTTGGAAATATCTTAAAATATGACCTAAACTTTCTTACCCGTCGACGTCTTCAGAGAGTCCGGACGTGCGAGCTAGCCTGTTTTAGGTTGCAGCGTTGAATGAAAAGAATGGAGGCTTTTTTTTGTTTCTGTTGAGGGTAGTATGTTGCTATGGAAACCCAAAGAGGCAACGGCAGAAGTCACGCTGAAGAGTGACCGAAGAGCGATGAAATCATCGTCTGTGGTATTTAGTTTCACCCAAACATCCATTACTGTTATCAAAGTTTTTAGGGGAATACAAGTGCAGTGCATTATTTTAATTATTCTTTTTTTTAATTTTAAAATACAATCAGAAAATGACAAAAGAGAGTCTGACACCCTGCCATATTATTCTAAAATCAAATTATTTTTGATGGATGTAAGAAATTGCAGTCTAAAAATAAATTTCATGGGGTAACTTCATCAGTGAACACAACATTGTGTGCTGTTTACGTTTTTTGCGCGTTGCAGCCAGGATGACATTTATCCCAGCTATCTTTCAAGACCACATACCAACTCTGCACCACAACCCACCTTCCTCAGTGACCCCTGCAGTGTTAATCTATATCATGTCAAGGCCTGGGTTTCCTGTAAGGGAGCGACTTGCCTCCACTTATGCAGGAGCACACGGTGGGGAGGAAGTGCAGCACCTCCAGCTCTCAGAGTGAGGATCAGCTTCACACACACACACACACACACACACACACACACACACGAGGGGGCCACGCTTGTGGGGTGAATTCCCTCCGAGAGCCAAACCAAACACAACATCTCCAGATCTTAGTGGGGTCATTAGATCTATAGGGCCTGAGTACTGTAGCTATATAGCTATTAATCATGAGCCGTGTCAATCTGCTGCTCTCATATCCGTCACTGCCGGTTGTTGTTCATTCCTTTCTTCTTTTGGTGTGGACAGCGAGGGAGAAGGCATTCCTCTGCAAACCATTTTTTTGTGTTAACGGGGAATTAGAAAAACTGCTGTGTTAAAATAAGTAAGGTAAAAAACACAAGTATTGGGTTTTTTGGCTGACCATAATTTGACTGGATTAGAATTTGCATACATTTTCCCATTCCAGCTTTAGTCATGCATGCAAATGTCCATCTGGTGATAATCACAATATTTACATGCCCAACGAGTTCAATATGTTTAACTGAAATGTTAGACCAAACATTAGGGGAAACAATTTTAGAGAACATACTCTAAATACTTTCTCAGCACTGTGACTGTCATCCATGTAATACATTTAAATATCTGGCAAAAACGCAAACTATTCAGTGAACTGTGTGAAGAAAACCTATTCAAGTGTTTCACTTTTCTAAATTACATTAAATATAATCTTATAGGTTTCCTCTTTTAAACCACTATTCCGAACACCCTCAAATTTGGAACATGGCTTGAATAAAAACGTAAAAGAAAATCATTATAAAAAGCACGTGCCAAAACTCATTCGCATGAGAAAAAGCAGCCGCTTCTACTGCCCCACTGGGACCATTTGCTCTGCGATACATGACATCAAAAATATACATCTACCCATTACAATACCGTTATGAAAAAGACACGACGCGAAGCCAAGCCAAAAGCGGGCCGCCCTTAAAAAAAGGCAGACTTGGGGAGTGTCCGCCTCGACGGAGAGCAGACCCGCTGGGTGAATGGACTCCAGTGTGTGCGGCTCCCGTTTCTGCGCTGCATCACTGCCACGCCGACGAGCCGGCCGCTACGCCACCGGAGTGTGTGCCACCGAGGGCCAAACCCTGCTGGGGGGAGCTGGGGGACTCCACAGAGACATCCCACACACTGCAGCCAATTCCCTTTGAGCCTGTGCAGAAGCTGGAGTTTGTTGTTGCATTATGTAATGCCGTGACAGGCTACACTTGAATGACTGACCGGTGCTGGGTTTGGCTGTGCAGTAAACGCGCCCGTGGTGTGTGTTTAAATGTTGGGCTGCTGGAGAATACGGGGCAAAAGGAGTTTTATGTACACCCAAAGCGTGAAAAAGGGGGACACAAGGCTGCAGTCAGACCCCCACGTCCAAAGAATACTGTATTATATTGACAAATGGCCCATCATAAGTGTTTGTGTTGTATAATATTTATAAAAATAATAATATTTTTTGTGTATGAAATACCCACAGACAGCAGATGCTATTTTTTATTTTTGACTATAACCCCAAACTGTTTCTAGGACAAAATAAGAAATTTAACTTTAAAAAAAAAAGCAACCCCAAGATTCTCCCCTTAGAAGTTAAACATAAGCAATACACCAATAAGTGCTGGACACGCACAAGAAAACACTTCCAGGTTAAATCCAAATCAGCACGTAGTTCAGGTTCAATTGCCAGACGTGTTGATTTGATTGAAGAGCTTGTCCTTAATGACCTGAGACATCAGGCCATGAATTGCCTCTATGGTTGTCTTGCAGCTAGAAGAAACCATAATGAAAATGGTGATTAGTTAAATTACCGCAGCAAAACAAACAGTACATACAGTTATTTAACATTTACACTGGTATCAGTTGACCATCACAGGCAATAACGAGTGAGGACGTTGTTTGCAGTCATTTGTAGTACTATGTCTGTATATTGGGTATCAGATTTAGATGACCCTTCAGGTTAGTTTGAATTAAATATATGTAATTAATCCATTATTATATAAAAGGAAACAAATGCCATATGTTTAACTTTTTCTTGTTCCGTTTGGAATAACACTACTTGAAAAAAAAACATTCTCAATATACTACAATCAAGAAACGAGTTAAATTCTTAATGAATTGAAAATAAATTTGTTGCTATTTTGAGTTTCTTGAATTTTCCTTTTATACCAATAATCTCTTTGGGTTTTGGACAGTTGGTCAGAAAATAAGATAATTGTCTCCTTGGAAAACTAACTTATTAAATAATCAATGAATTAAAATTGAAACATGAAAAATATAAAACTGTCCTTTATATTGTTAACATAATATAAGGAAAAAAAATCCATTATCAACAAGTTGGCAGATACTAAATATTGCATCATAATAAAATATAAGGAAATGAGTTAAAAGTAATTATCTTTCTCAGGTCTATAATATACGGCAAGCTAATTGAAACACAGAACTCACATTCCCAAAATGTGTATCTATATATATCTATATAGATATATATATAAAAAGTGAGAAAAAGATTCACCTATCTCGTGTTGCTTTGGCCAGTTTGTCCTCAGACTTCCTGTCGTGCGTGTCCAACCCGAGCATGAAGCTGCCTCGGCCCAGCTGGGCCTCCGACTGCTCCAGCTTCTCCGACAGGTCAAACACCTGGCCAGTGGTGTAGTCCGAGTTCTGGCCGTCCAACAAACACAAACAGACCAAATCATTCATGCACGATTTGCCAACAAACAAAAAAATGGAAAAAAATGTGGAGAAACAGATTTCACGTGAAAGAAAAAGCAACAAATCAGTTGGACGAGCTGTAGGAACATTGTTTTGTTTTGTGGCGAGTGAAAAGGAGCCGGTCGGCAAAAGTTTGCTTAAGGTGAGGCCGTGTTTTGAGTGGAAAAGGTAATTAAAAACACAATGACACGGGGGGCCCCTGAGTACCAGTGTAGCAACTGACAAAGCCCGTCAGCCAAGGAGCAGCTCGTCCTTGACATCTCGTCAATTCATCTCCATCCAGAATGCCAGAGCGCTTGCTGTTTGGATAAGCCCGCTGTCTATTTAGACCGTTTAGTCAGGCTGGGAACAGACTGACTGCGTGCACAATGGGAATTCACATGAGTGGGATTGCAATCTTTAGAATAAACTTGTCAGGTGGAGTAGGGGGGGTTGCAGAGGAGTCCGTGATGAACAAGCGTCTATAGCGCTGGAGCTGGGTCCAACTTTAATATTTATCTCCCGTGTTAAAAAGTGTAAATTAAGCGCATTACTAAAATTAATAAACAGCAACTCTTAGCCACCAAGCGGCAATTAATCATGACATCACAAGCGGGTGACCGAATGTCCCAATGAGTTATAGTTTAATAATCAACCATAAATCAAAATGTCAAACAATTAGCAGGGATTTACTTACCGTGAGGAGACTTGAGGAACTTAAGGTATTGACCCAATATTTGTTCCAAAGGAGTTCCAGGAGCTTTCGATCAAGAGAGGACTTAAAGTAAGTTACCTCCAAGGCGTAATACCTAAATAAAACAACCCAAGGCACAACATGAGATACAAGTGCAGATTACACTATACAATGCAATCAATTTAGAAAATATAATTTACATGATGTATGTTGGAAGAACTTTTATCTTAAACAAGGTAATATACATCAGTACTCACTGTTTACAGTGAACACCAAAGTCTTCAATCTTGTTCAGGGGGATTGTTTGGTACTCTGAGGGTCCCTCATCAGGAGGTTTGTAACCCTGGAAATGCAAAGAGGAAATGCTGACAATTAGCAACCAACTAAACACTTTTTCTGTACCAGATCATCATTACGTAAATAAGGACTCAAGCAATGAGGCACATACAGGCAATTAAAAGTTCATGACTTTGAAAACAAAAAAAACAATGTACAGCAATGAAAGAAAGACACGTTCTTAAAGTGACAACATGAGCAAAAACAAACATGCAACTCAATCCTAAATGGCTAATTATTTTTCTGACCATTGGAATTACAGTCGTAGGAGAACTGCCGCAGTATAAAATCTTTGCCTTACCTTTGGGTAGGTCCTGAAGGCGCCGAGGTTGACTTTCCCTGCGGAAATCGTCCGAGTGGGGTCAATCTGTTAGAATCAAGATACAGTAGAACAGGAAAACATAGTCAGGGGTCACACAGACCTCCGGGGACCACCAGGAGCCTTTCACCGTGGCTGCCAGTGTGCTGAAAATCCGTACTTAATAATAAGACGCCCACGGCATTAAAGCACCGCCAGACCAAATGAAGTGGAAAAGGCAGATATGGTTGAAATAGCATGATATTCATCAGTACTACATTTAAAACCTACAACTAATACATCAATATCACCCCCCCCCCCCCCCCCCCCTTCTCTGTTACACACACATTAACTTGTTTTGTCATAGTTTGAAAAAAAAAAAAATGGTTTGGCCTCCCATGGATCATGTGGTGCAATTGGAGATCACAGCAAAGCATTTGGCTAGGAAAAAAACGAAAAAGGTGTGTGGGTGGGGGGGGGAGACTATTTCTGGAGTCTTACCACAACGGCCACAAAAGGCTCCTGGAACTGCTGGTTGAGCATCTGGGTGCTGACATCTATGCCAGACAGCCAGCAGCCATAGCCGGGGTGACTGTGGTACCAGCCGATCGCATTCTCCAGCCGGCCAACCTGAGGGATGACAAAGAGACGTGGGTTCATGTTTAGGGCGTATAAATGATGATATGGTTTGTATCTATTGAGATAAAATAACCAAAGAGGAATGTTTCATTGTTTCAATACACTTAGAAATAATCTCCCCAACAGATCGAGGTGGTCAATTAGTGCTAAAATCTTTTAAAAACAAATTTCAACCTTACTTGCAGTATTCCTCTTTATTGCATTATAACAGTGCCTTTAGCAGCGTAATACAACTGAGGATTATGAACCAAGGCTGTCATAGCAGGAGCTGTAGAAAAACGATTTGATCTGATATTTAGAATTAAACTTCAAATCATACGGTGAAACTGAAAGTATTCTGGCCTGATGTAACTGAAAAGTGTGTATTAAGAGTTTTCTCTGTGATCAACATCACAAAAGTCCCCCCGATGCCCTTTAAATAAAAAGCCCGTGTCCGACCTGCTTGGCGTTTTCGATGTAGGCCGCCATGTACTCGTATGCTGCCGCCTGGGCGTTGACTCGGGTCTCGGTGCCCTCCACGGGCAGGGCGAAGCTGTCCATGATGATCATGGTTTCACCGTCCACCTTCCCCAGCATGAGGCCCATCACCTCCAGGTTCCCCCCGGACCTCGCATGCATCACCATCTTCAACAGGGCCAAGGCGGAGATCTTGCAGTACTTGAAGTAGTGATGACTGTGGAGAAGAAGAAGACCCCCGCATAATTAATCACAGGTGTATGTTTATATATTTGGAGGAAGTGTCGAGGAGTGGATTCCATGTAAACACTCCACGCGGTGCACGCTAGCCGCATCGCTGTTGACAAATAAGCCGATGCTAGTTTGTAGCCGAGCGATCAAGGTGATACAACTCACGACATCGCACGGTTAGCTTAATGAGCCCCCTCGACTGGATATCGCGATGCTGTTTTGTGCTTACTCCTTTGTCCATGGCTTCGCTGCGAGGATTTCTTGTTGTTGCTTTTTGTCGTATTTGTAGATTTCGTCTATGCTTTGAACTTCCTGCATGCTGTTGGATAGCTCCCAGGTCTTCTGAGCCGTGCTGGTCCCCGCCATGGCGAATTGTCCAAGCAAAACAAATACGGAGTCGTTAAAAACACAAATTTCTGCTCAAGTATGTGAATAAATGTTATATTTCTCCAACAGTTTGATCCCTAACGTCCACTTGGTCAGGGAGCCATGACAGTGGGTCATACCAATATACCAATGTGTTATCGCAGGCTGGTTTGTCATAATGTCACACACATATGACGTTGATATGATTTGTATGATACACCATATTTTGTAACACTTCTCTTTAACTATGTGTACAACAATATATATCCAACTCAAGCTATTCAACCTATTTATCAATTATATTAAAGTACAGTCACCCCTCTGCCAGAATAAATGGTTTAGTCCCGGCAAGAGACACAAACAACTGTCGAGGACTCACTGACATCTAGCGGTGTTTTTTATAATGGCAGATCAGATAAGATAAGAGTTTACTTTCATATCTCTGACAGTGTACTAAAAGTTATACCTACCGTGTTTGACAAGCCGACTAAAATACAGCTGATGTCATAATAAAACCAAATTATTTACATAAGGTCCATAGGCGAAGCGAAAAGAAAGGCTAGCGTAACGCTAGTCGGTGCCATGTTGCGGCAAGTTTAATAATGTTTGTTGGTAAGGTTAACAAGTAAGTACACTGACATTTTGCTTTGGTTTCTAAAACCAATACAGAAGAACTCAAGGACAGATATAATTAAAAATAACAATGTATTTTCCTTGTGGTGGATGTCGTGCTAGCTAGCTTACTTATTAGCCTGCCCCGTCTGTTTCATGGTTGCCTATAGCAACAACATGATGCTTTGCGACCTTCAGACAACCAATATAGGAAGGAATGTGTCTCTTTTCGGTCCGTGAAGGCCGATTGAATATGAATATGACGAAATACTTCTGCATAGTAGAATTATGTATGACTTATTAAAAGACAGAGCGCAGGTTTGTAGTCGAGCTCGGATTTAACGTTCACATGGTAATTAACTTAATGGACGCGCGACGTTTTTTGAGGAGCGTGAAGAGGAAACAGCCGAATATCTATCACTCAAGTCGGGGTATGTGAAATATTATAGCTGTGGTGATTAAAGCGTTGTTTTAAAGAGCAAATATACGGAACGTTTTTGACACCAAGCGTTATCGTCTTTCAACAGTCGAGGGTTGGTAATAAAACCAGCGAGGTGTGAATATGCCTCCAGCATCAGCAGCACACACGATACCCACACACCCAGACACAGGTAGCGTGCAAGTCTCTCACACGGAACAGATTACACCCTTTGAGAATAGCTTCGTGTCGTACACTTTGTGCTATATATTTGATGCCTTCCAGGTTTAGGTTTTTGCTTGCTGCTGGGCACTGACTATGAAAGGAAGAAGAAGAAACTTCAGCAGGAGCTTCAGCTGGACTACGAACATCATGCTGCCAAGGTCTGACGATGGGTATAGAAAAGTGATCATTGTTGCATTTCGCTGAGTAGCCGTCCTGTCCCGTGGTTCCACGTTCTGTCTCCAGATAAAGGATCTGAAAGCTGGTGAACCTCCAACCCAAACCCACGGTGTCTCCCTCCCTATCGACGAGAAGATATCGGTTCAGGTGCGTGTGTGTGTGTTATTATGTGCCTAGTTGGCTGCTTAAGTGAGAATATATATGTTTGTGTGTATTTTTGTTTATGTGTCCCTAAGTAAGGCATCACAAGAAACCGGTAGCTCTCCATAATCATCAAAAGCGGGGCTTCACAACCTTTCATGACATAAAATGCAACACAAAGTGAATGATACTTCAAAGCACTAAATTGTTGATCAGTACTTTGTGTCTCATGGCAACTGTTTTTGTTTACAAGTGGCTCCTGACCTGTTAAAGCTTATGCAGAGTGGCATAATGGATAAGGTGACAGCCAGCTGTGGATTGTACATTTAGGTTCCACCTTAGTTGGTAATAATAACCATTTGACAGTATCTTGAAATACCAGAAGTAATTCCCTGATAATGCAACGATGAAGTGGGAACAAATGTTACTCTCTGACATCCCGACCTAATACATAATGCAGCATTGTATCTATGATACAAATAGTTCAGGTGTCGCAAACTGCCGCTCTGAATGTGACAAAAGAGGAATCTATGACAGGTTATTCTGAAACCAAACCTAGTTTAAATAAATGAACAATGGAGTGGGTATATTAGCCATTGTCACAGTGTCAAGTTTACTGTGGAGGTGTTAAAGGTGCCAAACCTAACAACAAGCATGCTGAGAGGGTGTCTGCATCAGCAAGGAGAGAGATCATGAGCACGTGGACCAGCTTTTATAGCCTGAAAGTAAAAAAAGGGGGACTGGGTTGCAGATGATATTGCTGTTAATAAGTCAGATTTAAACACAGCATTGGAAATATATTTAGCTTGTGCCCTGTTTAAATTAGATGGTTTTTCAGACACGTGACTCTGATTGTGCTTCTTCCATAGGAAAAACTAAGAGAAGAAAGACGTAGAGAATACAATCTATTCCTACAAGAAAAGGCTCAAATTGAAGCGTTCAAGAGGGGAAACCCTCCCGTCACTTCAAAGGTAATGTGAACAACAATTAAACGTTAAAAATGATTTAATTCTGCTTTTTCTTAAACACATGGTCTGTTTTTTTTGCTGTTTTTTAAAACGTTTAAAGCATCATGGTAAATTTCTTTTCTTTTTCATTTCCAGACCGGACCGGTGCGAGCTACAAACAAATCTCCTCCCAGGGAGCGCCCTGCATCCAGGAGAGATGCTGCCAGTCTGACTGAGCCAGCGGATCATGGAGAAAGCTCCGGGACTTGGGGCCCAGGGCGTCGGAGACAAAGGCGCTGGCATCTCAACAGACCAAAAGAGCCTCACAGCTCCGATGAGGAGCCAATGAGGTTTGTAACGCACGTAGCTTTCCTCTTGGAAAGTACACTTGCTCAAATGTTAAAATAATCGAGGCCAACACAAGATCGGTTTTGATCATTCTTATTCAATAATTGCTCCCCTGCACTTCCCTTGCATGCCGGTGCCGTTCATTGTCGCCGTTTGTGCCGTTTAGTTGAGCCACGCTCAGTCAGCTGTTAGCACTTGGAATAGTGATGGAGGGGGTGAGCTGTGGCCCAGCTACAAACAATTACTCAGCCCTGCTCTACCAGAGAAGCTGTATCGATTGCAGAATGAGCCTTCAGCACTCTGTCTCTGAGACCAAAAGCTCTGCAGGCAAAGCGTGAGGCAGTGTATGATGCAAAACGGTAACTGGGTGTGATTCAGACGGCAACTGATTGTTTTGCCGTTACCCATGTACGCCGTCCGTAATGGGACGGCTCTCGTGGAGAGTCTGATTTTGACTAAAGGCACAAACCCCGACCATCCTTCCTCCCAGGGAGCGCTCTGCCTCCAGGAGAGATGCTGCCACCCTGACTGACGCAGGAGAAAGCACAGGGACTCTGGGGCGAAGGCGTTGGCAACTCCACAGACCAAATGAGCACTACGGCTCTGAGGAGGAGTCAATCATCATCACGGACAGAGAAGAGGAGTCGGAGTCGAGGCGCAGCAGGCGACGAGACCAACTCCCTCTTGAAAGAGACGAGAGGAGAACCAGTGAACACACAGCTAACAGGTGTAGCCTTTTCTTCCTGTTGTATGATTTTGAGCTGTGTGTCTGTTACATTTACACCATTATAGCAGGTATGCTGGTGTAATACCCCTCCCCTTATCGGTCTCTATGGCAGAGCTCCTCAGGGCATGAACAAGGCGGAGGCTCCTGGAGATCATGACCAGAGCAACAATGAATGGGGTTGTAAGTCAGAGAGAGCGGGATTACTTTTCTATCTACGGTTTTGCTTGAATGCAGCAACGAGATTTGTATTTACGCGCTGAACTCGACGTCCAATAACCTCCTGATACAACGTGACATTTTCAGGAACATGATTAAATGAGCCAACACAAGGTAACTGTAACGCAGTGTAGCTCACCGCTGCTTTCCAGCACTTCAAGTGCATCCGTAGCATTTAGTTGTTTCCTGTTATGCAATTAAGTGGAGCCCCTCAGTTAGCAGCTAATGTGTAGCACGCTGATGGAGGGTGAGCCCTGGCAAACAATCGCTCACCACGGCTATATGTGAGAGTAGCTGGAATGATTGGAGGACGGGGCTTCACTCCCTGTCTCTGAGGCCAGATAGCTGTGCAGGAAGACGAGGAGGCAGTGTACAACGTGTAAAATGGTAGCTGTGTGTCACCCTCTTAGACTGTCAGTGATTGGATGACTCTGACTCTGACATTGTTATCTTATAGTGAAATGCAAGTCAGCATGAGGACGCCTGCGAGATCCAGAGCTGCTACCAGTGATGATATAGCCAATTTTGCCACTGGACTAATGATTGGTAAGTACTGTTCTTATTGACTTACTTTACTTATTGACAATACTTTAATCTGCACCATGGGTGATGACACTTGTTTGTTGATGGCTCTCTGTTCTCACGCAGGAGCATCAGAAGACCGGGCAGCCTCTCAGATGAGGAAAGAACAGTACCAACAAGATCTGCTGAGACAAATTTCTGAACGGCAGAGGAACAAAATCAGGTCAGTGTTGCTTCACTGAATGGTCATTTTCTAGATTTGTTTCAGCTGGCACATCCTGGGAACAGTCAACAGAACACAAAGGATGGTGGGATTTGCACCTTTTTTTTTTCAGGGAGAAGAACCTTGAGCTGGGGATTGCCACCCATGGAGCAAAAGATCAGGAGAAACTGGTATATCGATTTACGATATAAATGTCTGTATTCCATCACGCTATAACACAGACATATCTCAGCCAATGTATCAGCCCTGAACTTTAATATATTTAAGAAAATAAATACTGTTTAAATGCCTCAACAGCACATTATACACATGTCACATGACACAAACTATTTACCACCATACTAGATGATGACGTCAATGCTAAATGTTGCCTCATTTCCTTTGATGGATGCACCTGACCGATTTAAAGCAGTTGGGGGCTGTGAACCGGCGATACGACGGCGGGAGACGACGTGTTTCCCGAGAGGACACGGAGCAGAGAGCTGCCCCAGGAATGTCTCATCTGGACTACAGTCCAGCTCTCAGTCAGCTCACAGAGACGACCGTGTCGGGAACAAGATTGCCACAAGGTGCCCCCACCATGAACCACTTTGAGGACGGCCGCCGCAGGAACTTCTCAAACAGGCCGGGAGAAGTGTCCGAGCCGAGGTAGCTCACTGTGGCTCTGTGTTACCCTACATGAACAAAAATTCACATGTCTGCTGTAAATATAATGGAGTTCTTGTGATTTGGGTTTTTCAGGGCCGCTGGTGTTCCTCCCCCTTCGACTAATAACTACAGGACTCCGCATGATGCCGGTTACTACTACTATGGGACCAGCAATCCATTACATCTGGATCCTCCTTACAATCAGAGTACAGCATTTCAACCATCTTCACCTTATTTCATCTTGGATACTTTGCATTACTGTGAACCATTTTGGGCTGTTGGCTTTTTTATTGTGGTTTTTCCACATATGGGACACACACTGGTTTCCATTCATTTAACTGTGCTATTAACATTGATTGTATACAAGAACTGTAATGGCTCATTTACTCTGTGTATTGTATTGAAATAAATGGAAACCAGTGTCTGCTTGGAGGTAAAACAATGCAAGATACTTTGGAAAAGATTCAGAGTCATAAGGTGACTTGCATTATCTGTTAGTTAGACTTCATTAAAATAATCTCCCAGAGGTCCATTTAGAGAACTATTGCCATTTATTATGGAGCCACTTTATTCTTTATATCAATGGCTGGGAGGACTTCATAAATCTCATTCCACTGCAAAACTGATTTTATTATTAAGAGGATATACAGTTTATAAGATATGAGTGCAGCAGATCCAGATGGATTTCACTTCCCCCAGCGGGTGTTTGGTTAGTTATTTTCTTTGTTTGTAGCCAAATTCCGGCCCAAGTCTGAGCCCACAAATATTTTAATATTGGAACCAGAATATATCCGACATGTGGTAGCAGATAGCTTACAAAACTGTTCAATCTGTTTGTATTCCTCATCTTGTATTTTTGCATTTTCTTTATTAGATGTTCTGCCCGGAGGGAGGCGTCAGTTTGGGGATTTCCACAGTCCTCGTCAAAGACACACTGAGTCAGTTCACAATGTTTGCAATTTGTTTATCCACACGATAAACACAGTTTAAAACAATATAACATTTGGGAACACTTCTTTAGAATGAAAATCAATTCACTCTGTGAGATTTTTTTCGTAGATGAGGCTTTTAGATTTTCCTCCAGAAGAGGGCTCTCAATGCAAAAGGACTGTGTTTCCGCCCCACAGAGCGACTGACCAGCCTATTGTGCCACCCTACGCTGTTGGAGAGCTTCCTGCGGACAATTCCCAGTGGAGGAGACAGAAGGCACTGAGCCACCAAGAAGCGCTCAGACAGCAGGTACCACATCCGAGCTAAAGGTTGTCATCGGATGGCCGGGGGTGGAGCAGTGGGCCCCAATCGCTTTAAGCGCCCTTTCATATGTAATAACTAATGCCACTAACGACGTCAGGAGCAAAGGTCCCGGTGCTCTTACCATTTCCCCCGTGGGTAAAGAATTGTGTCGTAGAAAGATCCACTGAAGTGGTCTCAGCAAGCGAATCAAATTAAAACATCTCGACCCGCCTTGTGTGCAGATTATAGAGAGACAGGAGCTTAAGAGAAGAGAAACGGAAGAGAACCACCGATATGACGCTAAGATAGAGGCCGAGATGATGGCGTACAACCCCTGGGGGAGATGTGGAGGAGGAGCTTCTATTAAAGACGGCCAAGGGAACCTTATCAGTAAGTTGGGTCTCACTTTCTCGTTTGATGAAGTAAATAAATAGTAATACGGCTGGTTTTAGGTGTGTATAAATGTGTCCATGCCCTCAGGTGACTTGAATCAAATGCACAGAACCAATGAAGAGTCCTGTAGGAATCCCGTATCCAGGAGAAGCAGACACACACAAAGCTTTCTGATGACTAATGGACACACTCCTGTAGACAAAGGCCGTGCTCCTCTTTCCCACCGTCTACCAGGTAGTGTTCAATTTCTTTGAGCCACTGTGCTTCAATGTGGCACCCGGCTTCCAGTGTGTCTGAGTGTGCCGTGGATTTGTGAGTGTGCACATTCACACATTGCTCTCCTCTATAGATGGATCACAGTCCGGCTCTGACGTCGTTCTAGGGTTCAGTGATCAGCGAGAGCAATTAAACGAGGACCTGAAACAACAGGTAGGTCCTGTGCCGCAACCTTCAGTCCACGCAGGTAACGCCCCTCCTACTTTTTACCAAAGTTTTTCAAATAAAAGACTAGATTAAAATAGGACTTGTTGTTATCAACAGATAGAGGATAACAAGCAAAGGCAGAGGGAGGAGAAGGAACGTCTGAGGATCAAGGAGGAGAAAGAAGATAAGATGCTGGCGGACCAAAGGGCTCGCATACAGCAACGATATGACGAGGAGCAAAGAAAGGAAAAGATTAGTAAAGTGAGTTCCTCTTTGATGACGTCTCTCTCTTTGAACACCCCTGGCATTCCTCCTCACACTGGGCTGGCCTTCCAAAAAACAATTGTCTTTTCTCTCTGGCAGAAAACCAAACCTGTGGTGCTCCATGAGCATAAGCAACAACACCAGGAGCAGGAACAGCGCGTGAGACAGGAAGAAGAGATCGAGAAGAAGCCACCCGAGAACGCCGGGGACAGAGAGGAGAAAAAGGCGCGGTGGAGTCACGAGGTACAGTAACCCTGGAAAGACCTTAGTGATTGCAGCTTTCGCTTTTATTTAACATCTGTGACTCGGCTCCTTAACTCAGCGGAGAGAGCCCTCCCCTCCCATCCCGACCCTGCAGAGGAAGCGGACGCATCTCGTATCGTCCAGACCTTCGTCTGTCGAGAGCCGACTCACCTCCAGGACTGTGAGTCACGCAGGAAACACACGCACATATTTTCAAATCAAGACTCTTGATGTAAATGGGCACACATTTTTCACCACAGGAGGGCTCTGTGTCGACACCACATTCTCCAGCAGTCCCTGAGAAAATCTCACAGTTGGGTAAGACTACTTATCTGTGCCCCCCCCCCCCCTCCTTGCCAACAATCATAAACTGCCACTCAATCAATTTCAGATGGTCAGAAGGAAGTGATCAGAGAGCTGTCAACCATCCGTAACTATCTGAGAAATGAGCAGAGGCAACTGGAGGTTCAACTAGGCCAGACAGATCTTCAGGAGACTCGGTACCCTCCGCCCAACAGGTATCACAGCCCCGGACAACAGGGGGTAATTTGTCTGCCATGCCGTGCCCAGAATTAACAGCATTTTGTTCATTTCTACCCGGCTAAAAAAAGACCACAATGGTAATTCAGCCTTGTTAAATGGCTTGATTTATTTCTATTGGTATTCAGGGAGACTCTCTCCTGTTTCGAGTTAATGAAAGGTGACCCGGGTCAAATTGGCCATCTTCTAATCTCCATTCCTATTGGTTTCAGGGACTCTTTACTGCGGTACTACAACAATATTATCCCAAGTGGACATTTTCTTTTCTGAAGGCCTCAGCCCACGTGGCACCATTTTTCAGAGAGGCATTAGTGTTTTGTTTGTTAAACGTGTGCTTTCCCTCCCTCCTTTGCTCAGACCCACAGGCCGACCCAGAGGGACCTTTGAATCAATGCTCAAGCAGACTGTCCAGCCACCAACCAGGAATCCCTTCCCCGGTGCGGCAGGTGTTAATTTGCTATCAGGCATAGAAGATATAAGGGAGTTTAACCAGCTTAAATACAGAGTTAATGACTGATTGGACACTGGCTTCACTTATTGTTATTCTATGCAATCCAGAGGTCATGAGGCATGACTGGATGAAGATGACTTACCATGCACACTACTGCAGTCCAACTTTTCACAGTGGTTGCTGGTTAATTTTCAGTTTATTTCATTCATCATGGGAGGCGTCCATCAGTGACAGGCAGTTGGGCGGCATAAACAGAGAGAATGTAATACAAGCGCCCAAGGAAATGGCTTTGGATTGGTTCCCAGTTAATGGAGGAGCCTGAAAGAGACTCAGAGCTCCAGCTTTTAAAACACACATTTTCGATAGCGAGAAACGGTAGTTTGTGACACATCGACCAAATTGTCCACCTTCTAGATATAAATGTTGGATTTATGCAAACCCCTAAAGCTGCATCAGACCCGTTCTGTACGCTCAAACAGGATGCGCTACACTGTGAAGAATCTATCCAGCCTGCGCATCTGCTGAGTCACTGACAAGTTGTTGTTTCAGAGAGTGGATGAGAGGAGGGAGCAATTAAAAATTGCTCAAACAAAAAATAATGAAACATTATTAGGGCCTGAGCCGTCAAATGCCACACCCACCATTCTATTCCTTCATCTTTTTTTTGGCCCCATGCCCCAGGGCTATTTCCCCAGGCCCCAAGTCCATTGCTCCATGCCCCAGATCCTTCGCCCCACGCCCCAAGACCATTGCCCCAGGCGTCAGGTCCATCGCCTTTTTTGACGGCGTGTAGCTTTTATTTTCAATTATTATTTCTATGTTACCATCATGACACGGGATGTTACCCATCTATTGTTTGTCAGACACAGCTTCTCGTGAGGGAGTCCGTCACATGTACCCCGACCCTGCAGTTGGCGAACAGAGTCTGGACATCCAACAGCAGGCACTTCTTCGTGAGCAGGAACGGAAAATCAGGCTGATGAAGAGAGAGGAAAAGCACGGTAAGTGGGCACACACACATGCTCAAATACCTCCTGTTGTGCTCTTTCACTCGTCCTTCTGTTGTTTCCCGACAGACTCTGTGAAACAGCAACTGAGCCACTATCCTTCTGTGAGTGTTCATCAACTGAGCCACTATCCTTCTGTGGGAGTTCATCGCATGAATAAGATGCACTTCATTGTGGCAGTCGAGTACATCTTGCAAATTGTAAAGTTAATTGTTGCCTGCCCATGTTTTTTTTTCTCTCAGAGGAACACCCCTGCATCCTTCCATAGAGACTCCATATTGCCATCTGAGACCACTTTGATAGGTAAGCTTCACTAAACATAATCTGCTTGTTAAGACTGTCCCCGTTCCTTTTTCGCTAGTATGAAGGAAGTGTTTACATCAGTGGCGCACACAATACGCTTTGGGACTTTTGCTTTTTTCTGAGGCTGCAGACCGTTTTTCACAAAAGGTGTCGTGGCTGGGGAAATCAGCTACATACGGCCTCACAATGCCACACTACAACAGCCTCTGCGCCAGGATGATTGAGCTCTGTGTCTCTGTGCCAGGCTAATTGTGACACATGCCAGCTCATGCCTCCTCTGGGTGCAAGGGGCACCTGCCAGCTGTAGAGTGGAGATAGCACAGTGACAGCTTTTGGGAATGGGGGCAGTAGAGACATTGTCTGGTCCAGAAAAATACATTTGTGAAGACTTACCCTTTTCTCATCCAAGCCCTCTCCAGGAAAAAGTTTCTAGAACTGTAATCTCTGTCAAGAAGAGGGTTTTGTGTGTATAACGTGAATGGCTTTGTTAGGTATTTACAGTGGAGATGCACTGGAAGAGTCGCTACACCATCAGCCCCCAGCGGAGCGACCGGAGAGCACAACCTCGCCAAGGAGACATGACTATGATGTATGGTGCTCAGCAGTGAAGCCCTTCTTTTTTTCTTTTATTTGGTTTTACTCAAGAGTCAGTAGTGTTCTCCTCTTTAAATCATTAAATCCATCTAAATGTCATTCTCTTCCTTGTGATCCCTTTTGTACAGGAGGTGTCAGAGACCACGGATCAGTGGGACCGGATCAACCCACCGGTGACTGGTTTGAACCTTGGATCCAACGTCAGGGCCCAAGACAAGCGTCCCGTCAGCAGACAAGACACCGGTGAATACTTGTGTTCATACTGTATATGGTGGATGCTACTTTAACAAAGCATAACCAGTCCACAGAAAGACTTTTTGCCAGATTTGACACACGTTTTGCTTTATCATGAAAAAATGTAAAACAAAAAAATATATAATTGATGAATTTTATGCATAATTTGCTTTTGATTGGCTGAATAAAAACGTGTGATTAACCTTGTACTCTCCAGAGGGACCGCCAGATAATGAATTGGATGACTTGTCTCTGTGTTCAGCCCGGGAGAGGCGTGTCTCCATGGAGACGGTTCCCACAGAGGTCTGGCTACGGCCGGCACGTCGGATACCGTAAAGCGTGCCGCGGCTGTACGGAGTGAGAAAACCGCGTGATGGATGATGCTCCACCCTGGCTGACGCACCGCGCCTCACAGCTCTCCTTCTCCTCGGGTTGGCTGTTTGAACGTTGTTGCCGTGCAGCGCAGAAATCGCTTTCTGCTGACTGACATGTTATTTGTGTGTGTGTGTGTTACATTGCGCAGCTTTAAATGCACATTTCCAGTCTGACTAAGAATATTAATGTCAGTTAGTTTAGAGAAGAACCATTGTAGACAAAACAGATGGTTTCACTCAGCGTGAAAAATACACTTTTTAACCTGCAATAAAAGTTCTGTCAATACATGTATGTGTTAACGTAGTTATTTTGGTGTAATGCTGATCATTGAGAAAACAGTTGGAATTATTTAGAAGTCAGTGATTAAGTATTTCAAATCAACCAAGTTCAAAAACTTTATTGACCTAGAACCTGATTAGAATGCCAGATGATGTGTCGTACAGAAAGTTGTACATAATCCTTTTTGCAACATAGAAAACTTTACATTGCTGTCTCATATACATTTTGTTTTCTACATCCATAAGCAGGAATGCATCCCATTCATACTTAAAGCACAGCTAACATTTGTCATTTTCTCTATACATATTCATTTCCCGCAGACAAAAACAAAAAAACATTAAATATATTATTAACTTTTGATTTTGTACACAAGAGTGAAAATTAAACATGAAAACAAACTAGTGACTCAAAAGCAGCTAGCATCAGGTTGCTCTCTTACCTTCCAGTTTCAGAAGCCCAGTTATTATCTATCTCCGATAAAAACCTAAGAACATATAAAATGGAATAATTTAACCCTTCATGTTCAATTACAAATCGTACGGTAGAGGATAATCTGCGGGAGATGGTAGAGTCAAATAAATTATCACAAAAGTAAAATCTCCAGTGCATTCAAAAAAAAAGATCAAGTGCAGCAAATCCAGAGGAGGGAAAAAAAAGATAAAGAAAAATAAACAAAATCTAGTGTTATAAGATTATTTTACACTGCGGCAGATCTGTACAACTAGTTTCATCCCAGAGGCTACCAGTACTAACATAAGCCATCTGCGGTGCAGACAGAAAGACCATCACTATCAATGTGGGACAAACGTCCCATTTCATAGTTACCAAACATGTCCTCCTGCATGTTCTTCTATCCATTCACGCTTTACTTTTTAAATATACAGTAAGAAGCACATCTTTTGAAATAAGATTCCCTCTGAGCGGATCAGAGAGTGTCGGTTGTAAATCAGTAGTCTTATCCGACGGAGGCATCGCTACACCTTCTGCACGCCAATTGCTGCCCGTCATCGTGACGGAGCTCCATGTCGGGGGGCCGTCTGTGAACGGGTGTGCGGTGACAGAGTGCAGGCGTGAACCCTGCGGAGGGCCCCTGAAGGAGGGAGGCGGATCCGAGGTCTGAGGCCTCAGCAGGGCTCAGTGTTAGAGGGAGGGGAGGAGGAGGGGGGGGAGGCGCATGTGGCGTGCCGTCACTCGGCCTCGTCCCCGTCCCCGTCCCCGACCTCCGGCTCCGCCTTCTGCTCGCTGGGTGCCGGCTGAGGTTCTGGTTCTGGCAGCCGCGCGATGTGAAACACGAGGCCGATGCGCAGGTAGAACTTTCTGAGGACCGCCCGCAGCTCGGGGATCAGGTCGAACTGCATGATCTCACACAGAAGAGGGTAGTACCGGGACGCATGCACCTTGAACTGTGGAAGGAGACGGAGAGAGTGAGACACACGTGTCTATGAGGGCTGCAAAGACTAAAGCAGCTATTTGTAGTTGACAAACAGCATTGTTTTTTAGGCGGAATAAACATACTATTCAATGTCTGTAACAATGGCTTTTCTTTTCTGTTTGGCTGTTAAACCACTTATTTAAGTCAGTGCAAACAAGTTACCAAATGCAACAAGCTTTTAAAGTGGATGAGGATTTGAAAATACCTCCTATTTCACTCCAATACAAACGGTCCCATCTGTTATTTCTGGATATCAGACCTATTTTAAAAGGATCTGGCGTGTGCCAGGGAAGGCGTCATCAGGTGTTTCGGGGTCCTTACCCTCTCGTCACTGATCTTCAGCACCTTGGTGAGGAAGAGCAGCAGCAGGTTGGTCCAGGCCTCTCTGTGGCTCTCTGAGGTCAGAGCCAAGAAGTACGCTACAGCCCCACTGCACACACTGCAACACACGGGACAGACACATCTCAGAAATTCATAGGACCACTCCAGGAGAACAATAAACACAAAGGAATACTGGATTTCATGAAACCAGACAGGCTGTTACTTAAGCGAGGAAGTATCTGCTTCCCTGCTTTGCTTATCACATGAAAATGCCCCAATTTAAACTTGAGAAAAACTACGCAACCACTCGCCTCCTTTGAACCAATAAACTCAGGTAAACAAGGGACTGTGTGTGTGTGTGTGTGTGTGTGTGTGTGTGCGAGAGCCTTGCTGTGTTGCTTCTGGATGACCAGATGAGGTACGTTTTAGAAGGTGAGAATAATAATTAAATACAATCATGATGAAACACATCAACGTCTCCATAAAATATGATTTCTGAGCAACTTTCTCCCCCATCCATCCATCCAGCCATCCTCTCATCCACCCCTCCTCTTGTTCCTCTTCTCTCTAATAATTAATGCAAGTAGGAGACAGACAGACAATGAATACTTCATCTCGATATCATCATCAATTCGTGGGCGAGGCCGGGAGAGGGAGAGGAAGCGGCTGAAGCCTCTTTGAGAGACGCCGAACAAAGATGCAGCGATGACAGCAGTGCTGACTGAACAATGAAACATCAGAGTGTGTGTGTGTGTGTGTGTGTGCCCCCATTCCTTTGGATCTTTACAGCGCGTGGCATCAGTTACAGAGAACTGCAGAGCTGTGCACGGACTGAGCTTTTGCCACGAGTAACTGACTGGACATCTGTGCCCCAAAAAAGCGAGATTTCTTTATTTCCCACATTGGAGGCAGTGAACCTGTAAAATTGTCCTTAAAAAAAACTATGCATATAATCAGACTCACACAAGGAGCAAACGGATGAGTCGACATTGATATTTTACAGATATTTTGCTAACAGATTTGGGGATAATGTGCCAATTGAGGCACCGTACAGGAGGGATCACTTCCAATCACTACTAACCGCGACCTTAAAACGATCTAGGCACATCAACTATTCTCAGATTGAGCTTTTGGAACCCTAAACATAATTTGAGGTAAAGGAGTATATGTGATCCTCATCATCGCCCACCACAACTGACTGACTGGTGTTTGTCCCTTACTCGAGCAGCCGTCTCTGGACCTCCTCCCAGGCGTCCCGCCGGCTCTCGTCTGTGTACATACGAAACAGGATGCGCAGGCCGCACGCCAGGCTGCTGGTCTCCTGCTTCAGCAGGTTGGGCTTCGACTTCCCTTTGAAACCTTGAAAACACACACACACACAGTTACATTCACAACTCAGAAGCGACTCGGCCCGATGCAAAGCGCTAATCGCGGCGCTCATTTGCCGCCCTACCTGCTTTCCACAGTAAGGTCCGCTGCTCGTTGTTGGAGTTGAAGGCCTTGGCGAAGCCGTGCGACTCCAGCAGGCAGTCCAGCAGCTTGAAGAGCTGCTCTGAGGTCAGGTAGCGGTACATGCCTTGGGCCTGGGTCTCCGCCGGGACGTCGACTGCACACGAGGCGTCCCGCTTCAAAAGAAGGCAGAAAACGCGAGTCAGTTCGTTGCTGCCATCAGTCGCGCACAAACTGATGTGGAGTCTCACGCTTTGTACCTGGGCGGAAGCAAAGTTCTCGGCGTCTTCCTTCTTGCTTGTGGCCGGAAAAAACACAATGTTGTCGATCGTCTGGATGAGCTCAAGCTGCACGACGCACTTTATCAGCAAAGCTGTGAATAAGCGCTGCCCCTGGGCCTCTGTGGAACATAGAGAGGAAGGGGGGGGAGGGCGGGACTTCAATCAGAATATTTACCGGTGAAAACGCCAGCGGCCGGTCTGCGAGTAAAACGATGGGCTTACTCATCGGGGTCCTGCTGCGGGAGCCGTCCTCACACATGCCTGAGGCTGAGCTGTACTGACTCTGCCGACGGTTGTCCGCGGCGGCCCGATCGCCGCTGCTGATGGAGTGCTGGTCGTCATGGCGGGTCTGAATATCCACAGACTTCTGGGAAATGGAGTCCTGGGAGAAAGAGAGAGTGGGCAGAGTTACTGTAAGGCGCACTTTACATATGTACACACACTGAACTATACAAACACAGTGAAGGTATATTAATTATGTATAAAGTAAAGCTGTGTGGCAAACGCTGGTTTCCAAGCAGGGAGAAGCTCAGCGAGATACGCAACGGAAAAAATAATGGATAGATACTTGTTGTCCTTACCAGCGGTTTGTCTGAGAGGCCCGGTGCTGTCAAGTGTTCTCCCTCTGCTCCTGCTGGTCTCCATGTCAACAGCCTAAAAAAAACAATTTACCCAGTAAATCACATTCATTCTTGAACAGAATGACAAAAATCTAACTTTCAGTGAGTCTCATTTGATCCGGTCTTCGTTAATTGTATGTCCATTTTCCTACAAATAGCCAATGTGTGGTTTACATTTGACACCTAATGTCCCCGTTTACAATGAATATCACGGCAGGTTCATTTGCATGTTCTCTCGCATCAACAAGATGCGCTTCGTGAACTCAGTGGAGGAGCTTACGCGTGTGGGATGGTGGTCTTGAAGATGTCCAGCATGCAGTTGCATGTCTTGTCCCAGGTCTCCAGGGAGAACTTCTCTCCATTCAGGATTACAACATTCTCTAGACAGTTGGTGCCTGAACGAGCGAGCTGCTCATTGTCTACAGACACACAGAGGAGGAGGAGAAAGAGGAAAAAACAACAACCTGACATTACTGTTTATCTTAAGCGGTGTAGCCGTATTGATGAAGTACTTCAGAAGCAAGTTCTGCCCCTTCAGCCAAGCGCAGGTCATGGCTAATGCCTCTTGGGTATTTTGACCTCCGTAGACTGTTATGGCTTGAAGACGAAGAGGACTCTCTTGACCCTGACGCTGTCCACTCAAAGGATGAATACAGCAGGGGGGGAGCAATGAGTCGCCGTGTGCTCACCTTGCTGCACACACCAGTAGAGCTGAGCCAGAATATCATCCAGCAGGACGTCGTTGAGGGACTCAAAGTATTGGGTGAACACATCAGAGATGGCGTAAAGTGCATGGTTGCAGGTGGTGGTCATCCACTCCGCTTTCTGAGAGACAACACAACCTCAGTGAGACCTCCAACATGCCCCTAACAAAAGCTACAACACAATGCTGAAGACGAGACATT